TGACTTGACCTCTTCATAAATATAATAAGTATGTTCACGAAGTACATAAACTGAAGAACGACAGACTCTATCGCTATAGTGTAGCAAAACGTAGAAGCGTGTGCAATCCACATTATAGTCCCCCTGCGAGACATAAGGAACCTTTTCGTAGCGAATAACTAGGCCATGTTCCGCACGTTGGGCCCATACATGGCACGAATTCACGTGCCGTTGAAGATTTTGACCCACATGCTAGTTCCATCACCAATATGTTTCTTTACCAGAAGATTACTTAATAATAATATAGCTACTTGGTGAAAATATCCGAGCTGGGTCAGTACTGTAACTATAGATCTGTCGTTGTTCTACGATACCACTGGCCTGGTATTGTATCAAAGTTGCGCACGATTGTTTCGTCATAATTTATGTATGGCTTTGACGTGTGCGTGTTCTAATGGTGAATGCCGTGTGAATAATGCCCATCCAATGTATCATAGTTAAAGGTTATATGCACATCGTAACAATGTCACTTGTTTCTGGGCACAGAGGTGAAAATTGAGATTTTGACCAGAAGAAGTTTATTCCACATGATGGCCTGCTCGCTGTCTATTACCACTTAATGTTAGTTTCAATACTCAACGTCATTATATTGTTTCTTGTATTAAATTTTTTATAACAATGTTTTTTTGTTATCAAACATTCTTATAATTCTATATGAAATAACGAAATAAGGGATGGTGTATTATTTTCAAAATCGCTTGAGGCGAGAACTCGTAAACCGTGTTCGTTTTAAATTTAAAACTTCACTGCAGTTCGACTTTACACATGTTTTCACTGACTTTAACTTATGCATAGCTCAAAATCAACAACAAAGAAAAACGAAGAATACTGTCCATCCTAGCACGGGCCGATCTTCAATATAACCTGAATTCTGAAGCGGTAATAAGTTTTAGGATTAGGGAAAATGTACTTCGTTTCACCACAAACAAAAATGCAAGTCTAAAGACCTCTTACGATCGTCATAGCACCAAAAAGTTCGTAAGTCTATAAAAGCGACGACCAGTCGATATCGACATTACATTAATAACGCCCTGCGTAAGGTCGTACGCTATTAGCCCCGGCGGATTGGCCGGCTGTCCATTTTGTCGTTAAACATAAATAAAGGTGTGAAATTGCTGTCCGATAATTACTTACGATGAGTTGTGATAAAAAGCTGACGAAGTGCCCTAAATGAATAATAATATGTGATGAACTAATTTATAGGTACGGTTTTGCAGAACGATCGGTCTGTAGTTTATATACCCGTTAGGGCTGTGTTGTGAAAGTTTTTGGAACTGACCGCCTAGACTGGGCCCGAGTATAGAACGTTACTTATGCAATAATAATTAGTTTGTTTGGTGGAAAAGTTTATAAGCGTCAATAATCAATTTCTACTACAATGATAAAATGTTCTACACTGGATGTGCACTATAGGTACTATTAGACGTAATACAGCGAACGTTCAATATCCGTGTCACGATGAGAAGCAATATTTACTATAAAAGGTTAATTTAGTTTTTTTTTTGTTGCTGTAATGAATGTAAGCCAAAACAAAAATTTCTGATTTGCGCGCGCTTACGTTCGCCTTTAAATTCGCCCGATTTGCCACAAGTCGCTATGTAGTATTTTCGTTTTGAAAAAATGCGAGAACGGTAGTTGTTAAAAGTGGCGATCATGGGTTGGAATCGGTTCACCATTTGTTTCAGACACTCTAAATAAAATTATGATTAGATTTAATTATATAATTTGATAGCAATGTAACTATTATTGATCATGTTGCCCAATGTTCACATCAATAAAATCGGGTGTTAAAGGTTTAACACTGTTATTTTATCAAGAAATTGAGCATCGGGACGTCAACACGGCGCAATGAACAGCGCTCAATTAACTGATAGCGCGCTGACATGGCGGAGTGTGTTTACGGCGCGACCTCTCGAGCGATCGAAACATGCTTTTGGTTTAACTGGATAGTTTAACCGAAATAGTGTTAACTTTGACGTGATTCTCCAAAAGTGAATGTGATAGATAGTGACGGAGTTTCGTGGTAAATAAGAAGTCGCGCTGGCGATACCATTTTTTTGTTATATATTTTTGCGTTCTTTTTGTTGATAATTTTGGCGAGAAATACGTCATTATGACAAAACATTTACTTTAGTTTGTGCCCTTATTTACTCTAATACGACGATAATTTTATTAAGTATTTGTGGACTTTCTTCATAAGTATATAGTACTTTATAGTTACATTATGAATATCAAATATATTAGAAGTAATATTAGGGATTGTGTTTATAGACCAGTGTAATGAGTATGCTAAGAAAAAAAAAATGATAGGATTCAGTTATAACGAATGGAATCAAATATTATTTAGGATTTCCAATGTTGTAAGCGAAAAAGTTTACCCATTGAAATTAAGCCATAATGAAAATCCGTAAACTAAAAAAAAAATAGAAATCTCAACATACAATTATCGGAATAGTCGAAAAATGTCTTTTATGATAATGACTGTTTAGTTGTTTGAATAATGAATAATGACTAATGTAGTTCTTTATTCTTCACTAAGAGTTTGTAAAAAGAGACATCTTTTAAAGCCTATTTGAAATGGGCAAAAGGTCCAAAAAAGCGCAATAAATGACAGAAATGTTGAAGATTTTAATAAATTGTTTTCTATGAATAAATACATATATTTTTATAGAAAACAATTAATTAATCAGTTATACTAAATAATAATTATTAAAAATCACAAAATGTAATCAATTGTTATTTTTGTATTAAAATGATAATATCGTATAAATTTATTGTTTTATTTGTTACTTAGCTTTTAATAATGAATGCACTTGCATACACAACTTCATTGTCGAAGTATTTATTTAAACTTTGCAATGCTCCTTTAATTTCAACCAAAGAACCTAGGTATATCATTACTGCTGTGAGATTCAAAATTTTCACGAAAAAAAAAAGCTTTCTTCGACGTCTGACGAATCAATATTCGTAATTAATAATTATTTACAATAAGAAATATTATTAAAATTGATAAACGGAAATTCGACTTTCGATGTATTTTGTTTTTAATACAATATAATATGACTTTAGCAAAACATGATGTATAAGCTATACATGTATCTGTCGGCGACTTAATCGAGAAATTCAACGAATATTACAAAAATATTCAAAATAACATTCCACGAGAATACAGGCGCGATACTAAATTGTTTTTGGAGTGGGAAACATCTGCCACTCGTATTCTCCACTAACCCTAATTTCCCACCCTGCCTTCTTTTCTGTATCTGCAATACATACATTTAAAGGCTGTTTGTTCTTTCTATATACTTTACATGTAAATTAAATCATTCTCGAGAAAACAAACGAATAGAGCTTGTAAGCAATCGATTTCTGTGCAAAATTTGATTACGATTCAGAAAGCGGTTAGAACGTGAAGAAAACTCATGAGGGGTCTTTGGGACAACCGGTTGGAACAAAGTTCCTTTCTCTATATGTAAATATATTTTATGAATTGAATAATAACAATGAAATTAGTTAAAACGTTTGAAAGTAATTAAATAAATAAATTATAAAAATAATATAAGCGAATAAATGATAAGAAGTATTTGTACGTTGTAAATAAACGTTTTTTTTATTAATTATTAAAATTTGGTTTATATATTACAGACTTCGTTAAGTTCGTCAGTTTGCACAATCGTGTAATTATGAAATCAATAATAGATGTCACTTTCACATATTTGTATAAGTATGTGTTTATTGAAAATTTAAAACTAAATATTCTCCAAAACTAAAACAATTCAAAAGCTTCATTTAATATTTTAGGAAAAAAAAAGGAATTGTAAACTATATACAAACACAATGAACTAAATTAACAACTTTTGAAAGAAATGAAATGAAGAATACAATAAAGAGAATAAAAAAAAGTGTGTGTGTATTAGTGTACACACGTAAGAAGTGAAACTTCTTTATGACATCATTTTTCGAAAAATGATTTACTATTTACAACTTCACAGAAATTGGTTGAATAAAGCTAAATTAGATAAAGTTTATGCAAAAGGCTTTTATTATCATAGACATGGATACAAAAATAATACGATTATTTCACCTTTCTGCTACTAAGATTATAGCATTTCATTAATTATAGTAGAATTATTACTATTATTGTTATCGTTATTATATATGGCTTAACTCACTGATATTTACAATGAAAAACTAAGGTTAACCTGAAATAACCTTAAAAAAAATAAATTCCGTAATCACACCCACGTGTTGAATGTATTAGAAAAAAGGTTTACTTACTTACTTCTGTTAAAAATTCACTGGAATTAGAATAAATATCTTTTATTCTTTTTGCTAATAACTTTATAAAATTTTTTTCGCTAATCACTCTATTGAAGTATTATTTTTCACGTCACTAGTCAGTTTCTGAAATAGAAATGTTCAGAGTTTCATGTAGGAGACTTGGTAATGCTATATGTACCTAGAAGGGTGATAGGTAAAACTTTTCAATTAATGCGATGTTATAAAGGGCCACATAGAATTGTAGGAAAATTATCGAACGCTACATATAAAATCGAGTCACTCAATGAAAGAATGTGAGACATAGTTCATGTATGTCGGTTGAAAAGGTTTCAACTTAGATAATAGGAAAATGTAATATATACAAACTGTAAATAGATCTAGGGTGTTGACAGAAAGTATATGTGACAGGTGGCCTTAGTAACAATTATGTTTATGCCACGATGACATTAATAACATTGAATAAATATGGCGCGTAACGGAAAAATGTTACCCAGAAATAAAGATGGCGCGTAACAGATAAAGATGGTGCGTAACAGAAAAACGTTACATTGCTATAAAATTTCTCCCGTACGCCAATAAAGAAGTTTCACTTCAAAAATAGTAATAAAATATAATAAAAATTGTTATCAATATTTTATTTATAAATTACTGTTAAAAATAATGCAACACCAAATAGAGCCAACATCACGCGGTGTTTCCAGGCGGTCACCCATCGAAGTACTGACCTCGTCCGACGCTGCTTAACTTCGATGATCGGACGGGAACCGCCGTATTCGCCGTGGTATGGACGTTGACCAACAGATTTATAAAAATGTTAATAAAAGCAATTTTCGTTGCGGTTACACTTTTTTTCGTGTAACTCTCATCCGCTGAGTGTCTGAGTGTAACGTGCGACGAGAAACTTCGTTCCAATAAACATTCCCTTAGACAAACTTTCGAATCTATTACCATTTAAATCTGTTGCGCCTGTCCGTACATTCAATTTTTTTGTCAAATTTTATAAAATTCTTTTTATTTCTCACTGAAATTAGTTGTAATATTTCTAAAATTTATGTCTGTCAGCCTGTGTGTCGTTTTATAAGTTAAGAACAGTTTCACCGATTACGATGAAAATGGCATAGAGTGAAAATATGTAAACATGCAAACAATAGGCTATTTTATTGATAGCAATTGATTTCGATACAGGATGTGTTTAATTGTTCATCCGGACTAATAGGGTATTCTGTATTTACTTATAATACTACGTGAATCTTTAGCGTCTTTTATGCATACAAATTTTGTGATAAATATTCGCTTTATGATTCATTGACCCCAATTTTTAACATCTATGTCTGTCTTTCTGTTTGCCTTTATGTCTTTTAATGATGTAGAGCGGTTTGACCAATCATGATAAATACAGGTATACAGAATAGGGTGGGCAAAAAAATCGATAACTTTTTTTGATCCGACAAAAAAAAACAGCTTGCCTAGGTACCTCTAGAAAGTACGTACCAAATATGAGCTCTTAATATTAATGGGAAGACCGTCCTCATCGCGGTTTTCCATTTTCAATTCAGTGTTATATAAAAATGGCCATACCTCATCATCAATAGATCTTTGAATCGGTTTTATCTCTAATTTCTATAGGAAATTGGATGGTCTACAAAAAAGGTCTTTTATATTTTTTCATAATCTAACTATTTAAAATATATTTAAGGACAAAGATCGAAGAGGTTTTTAATAAGTAACTTTTTTTTTCTTTATTTTGTAATTTAAATACACCGTATGGCAACCATAAAAAATTACTTACTGTTTTTATACTTCTTTAAGAACCATATTCATTTATTTTCATGTAGTTCCGAGTGTGTGTACGTGTACGTGTCCATGTGTGTAGTAATAATTTTATCATGATTTTTAATTATTGAAAAGTTATATAAGTTTATCATTTAATCTGTTGACATTTGTTTTAATACAAAAGAAGTATTCGATTGTCATTTAATTATACTAATATAAATAAAGATTTAAAGTTTGTAAATTTGAATGTAGATAGATGTAGGAATGCAGTATCTTTGGAACTATTAATCCCATTCCAAAAATTCTGCCATCAATAGGAAACTACTTTAGTCTTGAGTTCAATAGACTATTTTTAAATTTAATGAAAATGTGTTTTTAATAAGAAATCATAATATCAATAATTGATTTCAGAAATAACTCACCGTCTGGTCGATTTATCGGTGTGTGCTGTTTGAACAGTTTGATATAAAGAAATAAAATATATAGCAATATTTAATTGTATATAACAATAACATTTAAACGCAACAATAATATTCAAACAATATTGTTATATGTTTTATTTCTTTATTTCAATATCCTTTATTTCATTTTACTTTAGAAAAAAGTCAACGATACTATATATCTCAATATTTCAGCCGCAAAGACGGTATTTATCTTAAAAGTGAAATAAAAGCAAAAGGTTCGATCTGTAAGGAGCGGTGGTCGTGCAACATCGGCTTCGGATCAGAAGGTGCCGGATTCGATGCTGGCCACGGTCGAATTCACCAATGAACTTTCAAGTTAGGTCGACGCAAACCACGCCCCTCGTACCTCGGGAAGCACGCTTTAAGCCGTCTATGTCGGACATTGTCATCGTATCGATGATGACTGTCGTTAACCTCCCCGACAACACGCACCGAGCCATTATTGAAGGACTTAATTTAGAATTCACTCAATTTAATATAAAAAAGTTGTGGAGGGGCATATTTGAGCAATGGTGTGAATAAAATCTGACACAACAATCACTAGCGAAATTTATTAAATCGAGAATAATTTGTGTACCATTTTTGTAACAAAATATTTTTTTTTCCATATCTCATGACGATTCTTTTGGTTAAATCAAAAGAATGATTTTGAAAAACCAATGGTCATAATACTATATATTTTGCTATGCAGAAGATCATTCAATTACCGAGCAAGCGAATATAATAAACTCTTGAAAAATGAAATTCCTAGAGATTATAATTAACTATATTCGTATCGATAATTGGCATATACAATTCTGCTATTCATCGATAGATGGCAAAAGTAAAAAGTATCACCTCTGTGCCGGTCGGAGTGGGGGGTGTTAGGTTATTCTCGTTACGGAATTTCTGGATTCGGTCTCCACGCTCAAGGCCCGCGATAGAAGCTATGCAATAGCTTAAATATGTTAAATTGTACAAAGAAATAATTTACGATAAGACCTATCGATTTCGTTTAAGTTTATTTTTGATTTGGAATATCAACTTTTCTGGACTCCGATTAAAAAAAAGAGCGCCGATTTGTTAAAATGGCGCTATCTGCAATTTGATACTGACCAATAAATACGATGAAGTTTAAAATTTTAAATCGTTTATCGACTAACGCTTTTATACAAAGCGCCTATCTGTATTGGTATATATGAACATGGATTGTAGCAACATCTAATTAAAATTCTGCTATTAGTCTAGAACGAGTTCATGAATTATTAGTATGCCGTTAATAATAATTAGCGTCTTAATTAGGCAGAGAGAATAGAGGACCGTGGTAGGCTCCAATATTGATTTTTGAATGTGAGAAGATAATCAAGGAGATTATCCACGGAATCGATATGTTGACATAGAGTTAGTTAATTTGTGTGATTCCAGATTCGATCCGACACCTTGGCCGATACGAGCTAATGCAATTTATTCTAATTTATATTGGATAAAATATGATAGAAATATAGTTTTTCGTATATGCTTAATTATTTGACACATTTAAATTGATATATAAACAGCGGCATAAATGACTCATATGACCGGTCTTGTAGATTAATGCAAAAAAATTTTTACATTATGTTATAAAAACAGAATAGGATTAGAGATTTAAAAACTGAACACTTATTAAAAACATTCTAATACGTTAGCATAAATTATTTAGAAATATGTATAGAATGGTAGAATAGTATAAAATATGAATAAAAAAAAGGCTTCGACTTAATTTTAAGAAGTTCCCTAAATTCCTTAATAAATCTGTACAACACGAGTGAATACAATGAAAATGTTTAAAAATCCTCTCGTTGTGTTCACAGTCTTATTCAGATTTAAATCACAAAATAATCCGCTGACCTCAAACGATAGACTCCGAAGCCTAATGAATGCGCGGCCGGAGAGGGACGCGTGCCGAATGGTTATCGGTGAGTCGACCTTGTCTTTGCCAGCTTTTGTAAGTAGGATGTAATTACGACTTCATGAATAAGTCGTCCGAACACCGCTTTCAGGTTATCTCGGTTAATTAATGAAGGATCTTAATTAAAGAAAAGTTTTTGGCACGAAATTAATTTCCCTCGGGCGGTGATTGTAAATGAGGATGGTGAGCGAGTCCGTTATCAGATTTATTACGCGACTCATTTCAATCGCGCCCGGTTTACGCGCGTTTTCATACACGTATTCGTAGCAGCGTGGCAAGTCCAAAGTATGGCCCGAGTTCCAGAGAGTACTAGTGGCGACGAGCGGTATGTGCGCGCACCGTAAGCCTTTGTCTATGACCGACCGGCGATTCTTTATGGTAAATTTTTAAAAGTCCATCATGGGTAATATCTTGAATTCTTGTTGTTGTGTTAGGTTTACTATTATTTCACTTCAGAAGCAAATCCTACCACAATTTCTCAATTTTAGATTTAGGCCTCTCGATCTTATGATTTTCAGGTTTCCTTCACCCCAATTCGTTCGGGAGTTGCTGCCCACTGTTGTCACCAATATGTGTCTTATAATTAGTAGGATTATAGCTGTTTAATAGAGTACAAAAAGTTGCTACCACTAAAGCTATATCATAACATATTGTAAAAAGATGGGTTATTCAAGGATCTATGTTGGGTCTTTCTCTGTTTTTAGCGTAATCTGATAACGTTTGGCTAAAATAAATAGAAATTAAACGGATTTAACCGAAACAAACTGTATATTTTCTTGAATCTTCAATTAGTTCGACGCCAATAACTTAATTGTTAAGCGAAAATAAATCAAAATGTTTAAAATTTAATTTTCCCGATGTTTGATGAGCTGGTGTCAATGTAAGAATAGGAGATGTTATACTAAAATTACTTATAGCAACTGTTTCTTTGGGAATTTGCTTAGACGTTAATCTACCACGGGGTTCACATGTCATAATGACGATGACTTAGGAAGTAAGTTTTGCCGTTTTTATAACCAGGCAAATAAGACGATTAACTGATGAAGGCAACGGCGAGTTTCTTTTATTTTACTTACTTTTAAAGTAAATTACTGTTTTGAAAACAATTGCTGGAATTCGAACTATATTTGCTCTGATATAGGATACAATTTATAATGAAGACACAGTCCCAAAATAAAACTACATTCTTTCTCTATATTTTCAATATATGTATGAAAATTTTACACATGTTTTATTTATATAGCATTATCAAGGGAAACATGAGCATGTGAGCTACCAGACGTAAATGGTCATCGCGGACCATGGGCGCTCATAACCCCAAAGGAGTAACCTGTTCGTAGCCGGCCTCTTGTAAAGTGCATAGGGTACATTTTTGTGACAGGAATGAGTTGATGCAGGTGGAATGGAGTGACGGAAAGTTGGTGGGGTAATAGTGGGAAGAGTGGAGTGATGTAGGAGATAGTAGAGTGATGGAGAGGGAGTTGGCCACCGGAACTCTCACTCACTAGAGGAAATTCAAGTTGTTAATTTTCCTCTGTATTCCGTGAGGCTTTGGTATTTCACCGGTTGAGCCAGCTCAAGTTTACCACAGCATTTTCTTACCAGTTTTAGCCAGTACATACTAGTAA